GAAGGAACAAAAGTGCCCAGGTATAATATAGGACTACTAATTTCTTATGTTCCATGTGGTGCTGGTATCAGTCAGCGAGCTTTACAAAAGAAAAAGATGATGTCAATTGATTTGACAAATCAGTTAATTAAATGATAACTTCCAAAGAAGTTAATGCCATTCTGCGTCATTCTGATTTGTCAAATGTGATTTCTGACTTCAAGTCATAAGCTCATTTAAAAGAAAAATATAATAATTACAACTTTTGAGCCTGGTATTGTAAGGTCACATGCATACCTCAAAATCTCTAAATATACTTAGGTCTATTTTGCAACCTACTCTAAGTAGATCAAATTACTATTGTTCATGCTTAAGTACTCTAGCTTAGATTCTCAATGTTACTATTAAGGTCATGTCTTTCTAGAATTAGTTTATTTCTTTCCAAGTGTTTTTCAAACTTTTCTTATTTGCAGTAGAAATACTCACCACACACATTAAACAAAATTGTCCTAGAGCTCTAATACATAAAACAGATAAATGGAGGGCTGCTTTGAAAGTAGGGCCCGACTGCCCCTTTATCCTATATAAGCAATATCAGATGCTTTTCTGCAAAACTCTAGAGCTTTCTGGAACAAACACTAAAAACTGTTCCTTTAAACTATAATAAAAAAATGAACATTAAAACAAAAGCTATAGAACTTAATAAAAGGCTATTACTTAGCTAATTAGAATATCATTAACCAAAATATTTTCTGATCCCTATTAGTTGCTATAATTCTGAAATACTCAACTTACTTATTAAAAGAAATAAAAAAACACTTGGCTAAACTGGATATTTCAATTAGTTATTTTTCACTGTATTTAATTTTAAACTGTCCTAAAGTGGAATTACTCAACTACACAAAAGTCTGAATGAAGAGAAGAAAACAGTTCTCTGAAAGGATAAAAAAAGGAAGGCTGATGAATGATGAACGATTATGTAAATATTTATCTTACTTATAACGACTTAAAACGTACCAAAGCAGGAAGCTCTGCCATTATGGAGATTCAGCTTCTTAGAATTTGCTCAGTCAGAGGCCGGACATCATGGCGGTAGAGAACATGTGTCCAGCCCAATAAGCTGTTCTGCCTAGTCACATAATCTAAACGTATAGCTACGAAAAGGGGAAGACCAGAAACAACCGAGCTGGATCTCATTACTTCCTTTTTCAGTGACAACAGGCAAACATTTGAATATAGGAGGTTCCCACCCACAAATTTTATTTTAGATACAAATAGGAGTAATAAGTAACAAAACAGTAGTTATGCTGGCCTGACAATTCTCAACAATATTTTCAAAGCATAAGTGACAAATCACTGTAAGAAACCTAGAGAAGGGTTTTGGAAAGAACTAGGCATTTCTACATGTATAAACAAAGATCTAATAAATATTCTGTGAAGAGTATAAACCTTCATTTCATGATAGATTAAAAACTGGAGAACGTAAAATTTGCTACGTTAAAAAGTTTTTCTCCAAAAAACAATGTATATAGATAAAGAGCTGGAGTAATCTACATAGCCATAAGGTTGTGTAATAGGATATGCAGGTAGAGAAAACAAATAACCAAACTATTGATGTTAAACCTTGGCTGAAGATTGGGCACAGTTAGAAATAACATTACCAGTCTGTAGGACCAGAGAGGAAGCCGAAGAGAGAGGGCTTCAGAGAGAGATAAAGCCTTGACTCTTATCTTTTTTTCTTTTTAAAGGCACTTTGATGGCATGTCAGACTTATAGCACTAGAAGTCAAAGGCCTTTTTTGACTACTGTTATCTTCCACTCACCAGCACTGTCACCATACTATCCCTTTTTACTTAGATAATTACCAATATTTTAAATTGATTCATGTGCTTGTTTACTATCTATGCCTCTTTCCCCCATCTGAATATGTACTTTGAGAGAGCACAGAACTAGTCTGCCGGGTTTACCAGTCTTGATAACAGTACTTGGCAAATTGAAGAGGTCTAGTAAGTATTTGTTGATTGAACGCGTGAATGAATGAAGGAACAAATGAACAAATCAACTCCTGTGGCACTTCGGCTCCTCCCCTCTTGATGATCTTCATTCATGAATGCATTTATTTTGTGACTGCTTTGGAAGTCTAAATGGGTATTTCTGGTGAGAGTAACTGGATACTAAGCAGGTGGTTTCATGGAAGCAGGAATTGAGAAATTACGACAGATAACTACAGAACAAAGAAATGTAGACATATAACTCATAACTCTTCTAAGTACATTAAAAAAGACTCTAATTAATCTTGCAGGGATGGAATGCACACATTAAAAAAAAAAAGACTCTAATATAGTGACTGCTCCAAAGATAAGAGAATTTACTTGCAAAATTACTATGAGTCACCCCTTATCCCTCAAAAAGCTTTCATTAAATAGACTGCTTCATTGTGGGGAGAACAGACAGAGATGAAGCCTTCAAGCAAATAACTTATATAACAGGATGTGTGCATATGTGGTATTTCATTTTAAATAAAAAATTAAGATTTAATAAATGTTGCAGTAGATGCTAGTATTTAACCATTTAAAGCTATACTATAAATAAATTCAAATCAGACTACAGTAATCATTAGAAAACTAATGACAAATCTGATACTTAAAATCTGTGCCTTAGAACTAAACATGGTGGTGCATGCCCGTAAGTCCCTGCTACTAAGAAGGCTGAGGTGGGAGGACTGCTTGAGCCCAGGAGTTCAAGTCTAGGCTGGGCAATGTAATTCTAGATCTCTAAGGCACTCTGAATATTATGTTCAAGAATACAACATCATCACAAAAGTGATATTTTAAATTTTTAATTCAATGAGAAAAAAGAACAGTGCAGATAAAAGAATATCCACAAAGAAATAAATATCCATGAAAGAGATGTGATTAGCAAAATTCCATCCTCAAATATAAAAAAAGTATATGATTGGTATTTAATTTATAATAAACTTAACTGAGCAGTTAAATATTTGCTGAGAAGTATCTTAGCAGAGTTGTCATAAAATAGATCTTTCTATAAAGTCAAAACCTGATTCTCCAGTTGCGTGTTAGTCAACTTGTAAGAATAAGATAGGCACTGCAGCTGGACAGCATCCATGGTGGCATCATCAATTGTAAGGAAGGGACTAAGGATTTCTTTGTGTAAAATAAAACAGTACTTTATTTTTAAATTATATGTTCTTCTACTAATGAAAAAATGATCTGCTATAGCTTCTGCTGACAGTACCCAAGAGCTGACGATGCCTCTCTTAAAGGGTAACTTTTGTATCACTTATCTTCATACTTGCCTCCTTCATAAACCCTCCTCAAAAGGAGTCCTTGAGGGATGTCATCATTAGGTCACAAGGATTTCAGTAATAACAATGCAATGAAAATAACAATAACAATAGTAGCATTTGTTTACCACTGCCCATCACTTTTCTAAATTTTTAGACACAATAACTAATTGAATTCCTTCAGTAGCTGTTTGCATAAAAGATACTGATTACAGTATTAAAATCTGGATTGACAGACACATCCTACTTAGAAATTTCTTTGGGTCTCCCTACTTTTGAATAAGCTTGTATGTTATTTGATATACCAATTCGAGGCATGCTTGAGCCATTTCTCTCATGCCAAGGAGCACAGTCTTCCAGTTGACACCTGATTTATACCACTCATCTTGTTAAAACACTGTTTAGCTTCTGGTTATCTATGGTAGAGGTGTGCTTCAGGTTATCTAAGGTAGAGACACTGCGTACACATCTTCCCGACTCTACATTCAGTGACATCATGTTGGTGACTTGAAATTGGCCATGCTGGAAGTATTTCACCCTACAGAAATTAGGGCTTTTTTTTTAAATCAGCTGGTTGTTAAATATATTTACTCATATATCACTGATCTGAGGAAATGTGTATCCTGTTTAGTTTGTAGGGCCCTATTCAGATTCAGGTAGAACACACTGATGTCCCCAAATTGGGCAAGACCAATTATCAACTGCATCTTCAGATATCCAGCTCTCAGGAGAGAGGTAATTGATTCACATAATTGCTCTCCTAGGTCTCGAGTAGACTCTTTGCCTTTCATTTCCACAATATGACCAATTTTTATATGCCAAAAACTTCTTAAATACTGTAATTCATCCCATCTAAAATATCATTGATTACTAGATTGACTATTGTTTTATATATGATTAAGAAAAAATAAAAAACACTGTCAGTTAATTTGATATACTGTTAACTCTAATGTGTATTCTGATATCAAAAATAATGAAAACTAAAAAATGCGCATTAGAAATTGATGGGGGGAAAATCACTTCTATCTTGTTTACTCCTGTTTTCCCATTTCAGAATCTTAGCTCAACTTCCTGACTCTTGATATTCCACTCCTGGTTCCCCCACCTTAGTGCTTTCTCCAGTACCTATTTATACTCATAAATATCTTGACCTACATAAACTACAAGAGAACGAAATCTATGTATTTGATAGAAAAAATAATCCTAAAAATAGATGCAAAATAATAAGAAAACAAAATGATAAAAGAATTTGGTGGAGGAAGAGAAGAGTGCATTGAGAAGCAGCAAGGAAAGGCTTCTCAGAGAAGTGGAAAGAGACTATGAAACAGAGAAGGGATAAAAAAGACAGCAAACCACCATGGCATGTATGTACCTATGCAATAATCCTGCAGGGTGCAGGACATGCACATGTACCCCAGAGCCCAAATACAATTAAAAAAAAAAAAAAAGTTCCAGGCAAAATGGCCTGAGCCACATGCATTATTACAAAGTTGTTTTTAAGTTCCAAAAACTGCTCTCAGTGCTTTGAGAAGACATGAGTCTGGTCTAACATGACCAATGGGTATTTTTCAACCACTTCAGACTTTTCTTCTAACAGCATTATCAAGACAAATGAATACGTTTTCTCTCTTTTCAAAAATCACCTTACATTCAACAATACTTTTGAGCTATGTCAACTTTTATGAACACTCTTAAAGTTAGTAATGATTCTACTTACTCTCCATCCACTTCTGGTCTTCTACATACACAATGAAATTTTCCACCAAAATCTATGTAAAGATCATTCTCCACGATATGAAAGATCCGTCCAATGACCAGTTTATCCTTAGCAGGTCCCATCTGTGTAAGAGGAGAATGCCTCAGCATAGATGCGAAGGATTCCACATTTTTTGGAGAGCCCTAAATATGAAAAGAGATATTTATATATCTATAACTCATCATGAAGGTATAATAAAGCCTTAAAGAAATTTTCTTAAACTCAATTGTTGTAGCAATAATTTAAAAATGTATGTGGAATGCCAGTTATGCTCTTCAACTTCTTCTTCCATCTTTTCTTTCCTGAAGAGGCATCTATACTTAGTGGAGGATGACAGAGATGTGGTGGTCCAGAGTGAGGTCTCAAGAGCCCAGGCACGGTAAGGAGAGCAGAAGAGTATCTGTATATCAAGTCTCCGAGAATGGGGTGGGAGGTGGTTAGCGGTCAGAGTGTGAGCCTGTGAGGAGGGCATCCAAGCAGCAATTGACTTTATTCCTAGCACTGACCATCTGTAAAAAAATGCCTTTGAAGTCAAATTTAGTGAAAATGACTATTCTTTTAATACAAATTTAAATATACATTAAGATAAAATGATTAAGAGCTTTTTATCACAATGATCAGTCTGAACATGGGTTCCTGATATATAATATTTTTAAACAACTTGAATTTGTTATACTTTTTTTTTCCTAAAATAAAAGTCCAAAAGAAAAATAGCTGTTTGTGCTGTTCACTTTCTAGGAAACTTTTTACATATTGAATTCACTTGAGGTATGACTAATTATTCTTTTTTTTTCCAAACACATTTTTTCCAAATCCATGAACACAGATTTGTACCTTTTACTCATTTTTTATTTGTATATGGAGTGGTATGCGCAATTTGGTACAAACTAAAGAAAGTGCTACGTTTCTATTTGTGAAAGCAAATCACAGAAGAATATTAACAATTTGATATTATGACCTACATGCTGTATTTGGAATGAGTTTTATATTTGTTATTCAAGGGAGAACTACTAAAAGTTCAATAGTAAAGCATGTTTACTTTTAAAACTACACAACTGTATTTGTGACTTAAATTTAATGCATGTAATAATTGAAAGATTACAAACTCAAATGCCAGGCCAGGTGACAGCTTGATAATCAGAATATGTGTCCATGTTTAAAAGGTACAGCCACTACTCAGCTCCAACTGCAGCTGCAATTCAAGTCCCCATGTTTTAATTTTTAATGTTTTAATTTTCCAAGAAAAGCCAGAAACCCACATATTAGTGTAAGTTTTCCAATTTTTAAATACTTATATTCAGGGGGAAAAAAGTTTTCCTTTTTACAAACCTGGCAAAACACATCCAGGTGTTGAATTTAGCCCATGAACCTCAAGTTTATGACCTCTGCCTCAGGAAAAAGAAAGTCAAGACATCCGGCTTATGCTAAGTCCCTTAGGTGCTACAGGGAGGGTATCATGATCAATTTATGTGGTGGACTGAAACACACTGGGAAAAAATCCTCAGCACAAAAAAGTCAATCTAAACTAAAGGCAAATCAGTAGGCCTTGAGGCCAACTAGACCTGAAAGGGTAGCCAGGAATGTATGCCATAAGATATCACACTAGTTTTATAAATCCACAAAATATAACATTAAAGGTCCTTAAACAAGCACTTTGAAAAAATAGTTCTTTCTTGCAGAGCCAAAGATAAAACACATCCTACAGAGTTAACACAGACACAGCTGACTTGCCCTTCAGAGGCAGTGCAAAAGAGTAATTCTAAGTAAGACATTCTTGACAAGAGCAGCTACTATGATTGATGGGAGCCACTACTCCATCCATAGCAGCTGCCACCAAAGCTGCTGAGAACAGCAGTGCTCAAGAGGAGCAAACAGTATCAACCTGGGGGTCTCTTGCTTGCAACCACGGCAGGTCCTGCCCACTTTCCCTATGATCTGCTTTCCCATTACTCCACTTCTGTGGTTGCTATCTACCAGGGTTCCTAACTTTTTCTTCTTCTTTTTTTTTTTTTTTTTTTTTTGCTTTGGCTGACTTTCAATTGAAGCCATAGACCAATTAAAACTAGATGACAGGGGCCAGGCACAGTGACTAACGCCTATAATCCCAGCACTTTGGGAGGCTGAGGTGGGTGGATCACTTGAGGTCAGGAGTTCAAGACCAACCTGGCCAACATGGTGAAACCCCATCTCTACTAAAATATAAAAATTAGTCGGGCATGATGGCGTGTGCCTGTAATCCCAGTGACTCAGGAAGCTAAGGCAGGAGAATCTCTTGAGCCCAGGGTGCAGAGGTTGCGGTGAACGAGATCATTGCACTGCACTCTAGCCTGGGCAACAGAGTGAGACTCCATGTCAAAAACAAAAAAAAAAAGGCAGATGACAGGAAGATGCAGTAGTAGTAGACCCAGTAGTTAAACATTTACTGGCAATAATTCAGCCATCACTAGGCCCTGTTCCTAAAATAACACAATCTCCTTCTTCAATTGTGAAGAGATGCTTGAGCTAAGATTAGTATAATAGTAAGTAGTATTTTCCCCTTGGTTTTAGAAAATTATTGAGTGCTCTCAACTGTTTAAAAAGATTCTCTTGAGATTTTTAGTAAGTCTGTAGTTAAATATTCATTACATTATAAACCTTATAAAGTTATAGTTATTTCTAAAAGGCAACTTTAAAATCAAGTGGAGGTAGAACATTTCTCTTCCATTATTTTTTCCCTTTACTTTTTGCAAGGAAGTCAGTGTGCTTTCAGTCAGTGAAATTTTACCACAGCATAAGAACCCTGGATCAATACCTGAATTTGCTTTTAAACTGCAGCTCATTATTTCATTTGATTTTTGACATTGCATCATTGATTTTGGGAAGCTACATCAAACAATCAGACAAACCCTTCCTTCAAAAATCATAGTCTGGAACCATCTCTGAATCCTAGGGCTTAAGCCAAAATGTGTTCATTTACTTGTCAAGTGACTTTTAAAAACAGTAAATGTAGCAACTCCCACAGTCCATGTTGACTACAGGAGTCCTGTTTATAAAGTCTCAAAACGAACATTGATAGCTCTTCTCATGCTGACATAGACTACAGAGACTGGAAGCACACTGTGGCCGCTGGATATGTATCATGGAGCTCAGTGCCTAACCCTGGAAATGTTACAATAAAGCTCACTAACTTAGCTGTCATAGGTACTAACTTGGAGTTGACTGTTTCCTTTAAGAGTTGGTCATAGAGATCAGATCTCCTCCTATTCTGCTGTACTATTTTCTCCTTTGAAGCCTGAAAGTTGAACAGGACTGTCAAGGTAGAAAGGAGGAAGGTAAAGGCATTACAGATACATGGAACAGTATCACTTTAATGTATTCACTTATTCAACAAACGTGGTTGTCTTTTTCATATACATTAAGCATATATACAACTATCATGCATATGAGGACCATTTAACATACAGCTTGGAATCAGAGGCAACTAGTACTAAAAGAAATACGAAACATCAACTAATCTAACCACCTCATGTTATACATGAGTACCATACATGCTATAAAGCAACAAGGTATGCTGAACAGTGGTTCCTAAATAAAACTTGCTGCAGAAGACAAACATCATAACAAACTTAAAAGGAAGAAAACAGTACATAAGAATAACAAATACTTACGAAACTGACTTCTATGACCAACTCAGCCAATAAACAGCTAAAAAAAAAATCCTAAATAAATCATTTAACTTCTCTGGATCTGTTTTCTCATTTACAAATTAAAGGACTGGATACCTGTAAATTTTCTTCCAACTCTAAAGTTGTAGGAATTCTTAAATACTCTAAAATATGAAAAGGATTTTATAAAGTAATACAGGTTAGAAATGAAACATCATCCTACCCAGTTACCTTTTTTTTAAATGTAAATAATAACAACAGCTGGGCATGGTGACTCACACCTGTAATCCCAGCAGTTTGGGAAGCTGAGGCAGGCTGATCACCTGAGGTCAGGAGTTCCAGACCAGCCTGACCAACATGGAGAAACCCTGTCTCTACTAAAAATACAAAATTAGCCAGGTGAGGTGGCGCATGCCTGTAATCATAGCTACCTGAGATGCTGAGGCAGGAGAATCATTTGAATCCGGGAGGCGGAGGTTACGGTGAACCAAGATCTTGCCATTGCACTCTACCCTGGGCAACAAGAGCAAGACTCCATCTCAAAAATAATAATAATAATAATAATAATGAAATGGTATATATACTTTAACTACTTCATACTGGTTAGCAAGAAAAAAATCTCAACAGGCATCTCCAAAAATGACTCCTATTAACTGTCTATTAACAGTGCTATCATAACTTTTGTTTCTTTAACACTAACCAATAAATGTTAGGCTCATAACAAAGTTCTTTTATTGAAATAAACATATTGGTGCTCAAGATAACAAGGCAGTTATATTTCTCTCTCTCCCTCCTGAAATCCCATTAAATGATGGTAAAATTAAAAAAGTATAAAAATTATAAACCCTCAATATTGAAGAGAACAGATGGGGACCAAAAGTATACAAACATACTTTCTAGTGGACAGAAAGCATGTGGAAGAATGGTAATTAATGAAGCAGAGTGAAATGCAAGAGGAAGAAGCTGTGGGGGGGGGGGGAACTATTCTATCCTGAAGAATTCCATAAAGGTATGGAGCTCAGTCGTGCCAGGCTGCAGTGAGAAAACAAGCTAAAAACAAGGAGAATAATAAAAAAAAAAAAGAGGCAGGGCAGTCAAACTTCTGTAAAGCACAAAATACCTTAAGTGCATAATACCTGGTAAAAGGCATGTATTATCCTGGCAAAAATAAACATAATTTCTCTTCTCTTAAAAAAATTAAATAAATTATATAGAGGAGAGCTAAGTTTGAGATGGTTTGTTATGCAGCAGTAACTTATACTGCTTCTATAACCTATAGAAGTAGCAAAGGAAAGAATCCAAATGACAGCTGTGCAGCAAGCATATGAACAATTAATGGTGACTCAAATACAAGGGCTCCCAAAGGAAGGTTGTGAGGTCTGGCCACATGGCTCAAGTCTTGGCTCTACCACTTGCCAGCTCTGGGAACAGGCCTATGCACTTAGAATCTCTGTGCTGCTCTTTACTCATCTTACAAAATGGGGTTTATAACCGTACCT